GTAAGAGGGTGGATGGGCAAGGACAACAGCACACTTTGTAAAACACTCTGGGTTCTGACTTAACTGCTTTCTTGGTCAAACAGCATCCGACATGGCTCTCCTGTCTCATGATATCTATGTTTGTGCCCATTTAAATGTGAAATCGAAAGGAACAGGACAGTCCTGGGGGTGCGGGGAGGTTACTTTAAGAAGGAGGATGTGAGGGAGTGGGAGGAAGAGTGCTCACCCTGGCCTTCCATAAGCCCTGGATTCAATCCCCACTACTGATAAAGGAACATTGTATTTTAAGGCCAGGTGCGGTGGTGCATACTTGTAACCCCAGTGCTTGGGAGATGGAGACAGGATGATCAGGAGGGTAATCTCAGTAGCTATACAGTGAGGTTGGGGCTAGCTTTGGCTACATGAGACCCTGTCTCCAAAAAAACAAAACCAGGCATGCAAAAAAAGAGGGGGGTGGTGGGTTAGCGGCTAAAAGTGGTTCAGTTGCTACCAAGCATGTTGATTTAAGTTCGATTTCCGGTGAAGGAGAAAACTGACTCCAAGGCTTCTGGCCCGACACATCCCCCAGTGAGTAAATAAATGATATAACTTTAAAATTTAAAAACAAAAAGGACATGTTAAGCACTGTTCAAAATAGACTTACTAGAGAAACAAGGAAGAAGATAGAGAAGGCTGTGAGAAAGACTCCGCCCTCGGCAGTGAACAGCTGGTCAAGGCAGAGGCCATGCTGAACCCCAAGATCCCAGCCCCATTAACCGACTTTGAAGCTTTGAGGGAGGCCACTACTCACAATGCCTCTGTTTCCCTACTTGTCCCACAGGCAGAGAATCACTCCCCCCCCCCCCCCCCTAGGCTGGAAGGTCAAAACCCTTTAGAATGCTAAGGTCAGAGGGGAACCTGCACGCAAAGGCTGAGGCTGCGGCAGGCTCTTTTCTGTTGGCACTGCTGATCTGCTTTCTGTTGATCCACACACAAGCACAGCAGCTTGCGGCCAGCTCAGGCAGCAAGGAAAACACACCACAGGAGTCTTCCGAGTGTGCAGAGCCACGTGCAGATATTGTATCTCCAGCATTAGCCGGGGGCAGAGAGTCTACAAAGGGCTCCTTTGTGTATCTGCCCAGTGTTTCCTCCTCAAGGACGAAATACAGCTCACTGTGCATTTTGGGTTTTCTTAAAGGATAGCGGTGTTCCTAGAGTTAGCGGCCCCCACCGTTCATCGGGATATACACAGAGGGAAAACCAGGCGCCCCGGGCTCCTCATTGCATAGCTCAGGTAAGGCCACTCCAACCAGTTTCTGGATTCCGTCTGTTCTGTTTGGTTTGTGGTACAACACAGGCTGTTGATCTGTATGGGTTTAACCAGAAGGACCAAAAAATGACTATGTAAATTCATGATTGCTTCTGGGAAACAGGAATACTGAGGATCCTCTGGGCGTGATGAACTAGAACTCCTCCCTCCTTCCCTCCCTCCCTCCCTGCCTCCTTCTTTCCCCCTCCCTTCCTTCTCTCCTTCTGCCTTCTCTGCTAGTCCTGGGGATCGAACTTAAGGCCTCCTGCATGACAGGTAAGTACTCTACCACTTGAGCTACGACCCCAGGACTCTCCTTTGAGGCCTGTCATTTACATTTATTATACACCAACTTTATTCCTGGGCCTCGTGTTCCTCTGGGATGTCCTTTGCTTCCATGTCACCTCCTCTTCTAGCACAGGAACAGTCTGTCCTTTTCAGCGAAGATCATCTCAATGGGGCAGCAGTGTCCACATACGAAGGGACGCTGGCCACAGGCTCTGTAAGGATGGGGCACACAGTGGGGGCTTTGTTTGCCTGGGTTTTCTCAGTACTGAAGACTCTGTAGTAGTTCCAGTGTGTGTCCTGGAGAGAGAGAGAGAGACAGAGATCTGTAGTAAGCCTGTGAGATCGCTGTCACTCTGCATCCTTACACAGCGACCTAGTGCTCTCTTGGGCTCCCGGAGTGCTGGGTTCTGTGCCAGCCGGGCTATCTGGCCTGCTGGCCTGCTGGCCTGCTGCACCTGTTCAGCGTGTTGTGATCGTAGGTGACAGGCTGGCTCTCGGGCATTTGTTGGATCGCTGGACATGAGTACTTTAGTGGCCTGGGCAGTTTCCAGTATTCTTAAGGGGGTGGTTTAAATTTCTCGGTACTTACGGCAGTGTGGGGTTTTCTAGGGCAAAGGCTATGCCAGTGCAGGACTGGGAGTTATTAACAATGATCATCAATCTAGCAAGGCAGGAGAGCAGAAGGGAGAGAAGAGGGACAAGGATGCAGCAGAGAGCGCTTCCTGTTTAGTTTGCAGAACTCTGTCTGCAGGAGCCCGGGCGGTTAGGGACTCCAGGGTCACTGTGCATGCTTGAAACTGAGGGTGAAGCCCAAGCATCTTTCTGTGGCCTGCATTTCAGTCCAGATCAGAAGAAACGGCCATCACTTTCTTACTAAAGCACACGCATACAGGGCATTGGGGAGGTGACAGAGGTCAGGTGGGCTGGGGGTGTGGAGACGAGCCACGGTTAGATACTTGCCTGGCTGGTATCGACTGGACTCCATCTTGGGCCTGCTTTTCCCCCGCCATGGTGCCCTCTTTCTGGCCAGTCTGGATGCAGGTGGCCTGTCTTTGCAGTGGATTTTCTGAGCCACTGCCCTTTGCCTCTCATGGTTCTTAATCAGCAACTTTTATGTCACTTTCCTTTGTGATTGGCAGGGACACCATATAGCCCATCTTCTGTCCTCTCCTGGTGGGCTCTCAGGGGGCAGAGTGAGCATTGCTTTCAGCTGCTGAACAGCCTGGTATAAAATAGGATCGAATAAACCCTTGATGGATGAATGGGAAGGCGACGAGGGCTCTGCCACCCAGCTCCACCCCGGCCCCTTCCCTCTTTTTAGGAGTGAAAGTCTTTGACAAGGCTTGGCCTAGCGTTTCCTGAAGTAAGATGAGAAGCAGAAAGCTCAAGTCCCTCCTTCTTTTAGATGCATTTCTGCCTGGACATCGCACACACGGACAGGAAGCTCTCCTGTCAACACTGAAAGAAAGAGAAGCCATTTTGACAGGTTGTTTGTCTCCCAAATGGAAAGTAAACTGTCTATTGATCTGATTTGCCTTCCTCTTGAGGGACGCGGGGGAAATAATGACTTTTGGTGGCTTGTTTTTCTAGTGGTGCCAGCCCCTGTGTATCCCTGACAAAACGAAAATGTCGATGGAGAACGAAAAGAGAGCTCTCAAATAATCAAATTAAATCGTTATCGTGTGCTGTTTCTTAAGGACAGCACGTTATCTGAATATCAATATGGGACAATCAAGTTACTGGACAGATTTTTCTAATTCCCAAAATCTTACGGTGGCGTAAGGCTCAGGGAGAGGAGTCTTGGGCTGTCTTGGACATTGCGTCTTGATAAACAGTCTTTACAAGTTGGCGCACCCTGTGTTGTGAACACGCGGATCCTAGTCCCACCCATGTTTCTGTGACCACGGTGGACAGGGGCCAGGGTCAGACCACTGCTGGCTTGCTTGGGGCTTCCAGTGACCGCTGCTAGTTTCAGCTCCGATTTCCCTGGTGGCTTTGAGCAGACAACGAAGCAATGCAGAAAGAGAGAGGACATTATACTCTATCAAATGTCTTTAATTTGGATACAGGGTAACAGCAGAAAGAAGAGATTCTTAACAGGGTACCAGCTGGGGCTGGAAGCATGGCTCAGTGGCAGAAGGCTTGCTAATCACAGGTGAGGACAGGGTTCCTCTGTGTCTGGGTGTGCAGGGGTGGAGATTTCTTTTCTGGTCTGCAATATGCGGTCACAGTGCACACAGCCCAGGCTCCCCTTCACTGCGTTCCTCTGCCCCTGGTATAATCCTGTCCAGTACTAAATGTCCAGCATCTGGACGATGCCTTTAAAAATCCATTCCTACTCTCGCAAATGTCTCTGAACAGATTAAAGTTAATTTGGAAGACCTGAACTTGCAAATCCACAGGATTTCTGATTTCATGTAGACATGCCTTGATTCCTGTGACTGCCTCCTAGGTTCAGGTGGGTGGGGGAGGAGGAGGCACCACTCTGCACCCCAGAGGTACCCCTCCCCCTGTGCCATCCACTCGACCTGTCCCTCCACATCCCCTGTGCTATTTCTATCCTTGCCCTATTGAAACTGCACCTCAAAGGTCAACTGTGGTATTCTCAAAGTCCAGTCCAGAGAGGGTTTTGTTTTATCTCCATTTTTCTTTACTCGGAACCATCGATTTTTCTTTCTCCCACTCTGATGTGCTTATGTGGTTTATATTTATCCCCCTATCTATCACCTAACTGGAATTTTTAAGCTGGTCCTTGGCATAGCAGCATCCCTGACGGGAATCCAAGCCCTAGGATGGGCATGCCTGTAGTGGGGTTCTCACTCTGCCACTAACTGTATAAAAATGAGGAGAACAGAAGGTATTGTTTCCTTGGTTTGGTGTCAAAATTAAATAGAATAATCGAAGTAATATTTACTTTAAGGCTTAGCATCAGGAAGTATCCATGAACGTTACCTGTTAGCAAAACAGGCCCTCAAATCTGTGTAAACAACCGCCTCCCTCTTAGCCCTGCCCCTTTAAGGCCATTTTGCACTCCTCATCCCACACAGGGCCAGTCAATAAGTATTTGCATCAATTAGAATCATGTACACGGTGGCAGAGTTCAGGGAAGGAGAAGCGATAACGTGGGAGGCTCCAGAAGGCTGCAGGAGTGGTAGAAGCCTCGTTGTTCAGTTTTTAACTAATAAATGATTTAAGTTGTTGAGTGTTTGAATCGCTCCTTTCCGGACATATGGCGTTATTGAGCAAGAGGTGGCATTAGCAGTTAAAATACTTGTTAGTGCAACAGTCAGTTACAAGTGTGCAAGATTAAATTCTGCTATAACTGGATTATGTGGGGAGAGGCGACCAGAGCCCTGGAAGCTTTGACTGAAAGAACGGTGCCATCTACTGGCGATATGGAGAAATGACCCCGGGTGGTGCGGGTCTTGGTTGGGGGTAAAAGTCCTCAGAATTGCCATTCTTTCTGCAGAAACTGTGGGCGGGACTGGACAGGAGGAATTAAAAAGGGCGGGCAAGCCGCATGTAAGAGATGCTTCTGTAATGTAGAGGCGGAAAGAGCACAGCACCTTGGGCGAGCGACAACCTTGTGGGTGGCATCATTGGAGAGCAGTCCCCTCCGCGTCTTGTCCGCCACCCCCTACGCCCAAGCCTCACCACCTCGTACTCACGGATCCCCTCTCCTATTGGTTTCACTTTCCTATTCTCTGCTGGCTCCAAATTCCAAGACGACCCTTCTTCACCTTCTGATTCCTCTTTTTGTATGGAAGGAAACTAGGACTGGGAAAATCGCGCTGAGTCACCACATTTGGCGGCCAGTCCAGAACAGCTGGAACAGAGTGCCTCCTGAGGGGCCACAGGCCAGCCTCCACCCCTCCAACAGCAAGTCCTCACGTGACAGCCACCCCAGGAGCCAGGTAAGGTGACTGCAGAGGTCTCAACCCTCCCTGAGCAGATGTGCAGGCGCCCTGGTTCCCACATCATCCTGGAATGTGCTCTGGCCACTGGCGTTGGAGGGAATTGAATCCCAAGAATGTTGCTACTAGTGATGTTTCCTTTGGAAGATGAAAATGGATCATAACACACCTGGAAGCCATTTATTATGTTTTTCTATTAAAAGACTATGCAAATCGGTCAGTAGCTGGGTTATAGAGCTTTGTGTTTTAGCAGGGTTTTAGTGCAGGAAGGCCTGAGGGAAAATATGGATGCTTCAGACGAAAGTGTCTGCACCCTCGGTCAGCTCACAGGGAGTTGGTTGTCTAGTTTTGAGGCTCTGATGGTGACTACCTATAGACTGTGAGCCAGCAGAGGTGCTGCACAGCCTTGGCCCCCAGATTCTGAGTGAGACTGGGACAGAACGGTTGCGAGTTCAAGGACAGTCAGGAAGTTAAAAAGCTAAAAAAAAAAAAAAAAAGAATTATTTTTTGTTTTTTTTTGAGAAAAAAGGAGTAGGGGTTTCAGAATTTTGAATTTAATTGCCAGTTGAGTTTGGATGAGCTATTTTGTCACATCCTGAGCCCCAGGGTTTTAGTTTTTTCTCTAAAAGGAAGAAAACGAAGCCTGCCTGTCAATAAAATGTGGAAATTAAATGAAATACAGTAAGAATTCTTTTATCTGAGCTGATGGGGCTGGATTTAGTTAATAAAGAAGTTGGTTAGAGACTCATGAAAGCTAATGCCGCCAATATGTTCCCTGAAGTACAAGCTTCCTACTAATTCAAGGTGTGGCCTTTTCTTTTAATATTGATCTACTAGCTGACTTTTTGAGTTGTTTTCTTATGTGGACCACACGTGTAATGCCATGCAATTCTTAGCTCTGATTTGTTTTACTCTAGCAAGAACTTAAACTTTCTAAGTTACCTGCAACATCATTTCAATTTAAAAAGTCACGCCAGTAGGCACGATTTTCCTCAAACTTTGTCTGTCTGTACACAGCGATATTTTAACCACTTCCCATCGTGAAGTTGTCCTAGATCATCTAACCTGGCTTTCAGGGAGCGATTTCCTCTCCTTGTATACTCGGCTGCTTTGAGGTGTTTGATCCCTTGCACGCCAATAAATAATTAAGTAAACGAATTAATTTCACGGTTGCTAATGGGTGCAGCTGTGAACTGCTTCTTGGAAGCACGCTTCCTCCATAGAGCAGCAGTAGTGAGCAGTGTCACCCCTGCAGTGGGTGACAAAGTTCGCATGGGGCCCAGAGAATCACAGTTAACCTTCAGCCCGTGTCAAACAGATGGATTTAGGACTTCCCCGCACTTAAAGTGCTTGACCTAATGCCTCGCCAACAGAAGCGCCTCTCCTACCGTCTGCAGCTATTTATCATAGCTAATGAGTTCGGAGTTCGAAGGGGAGTTCGAAATCTAGCAGTTTTCCCTATCATTTTATAGACGAGGAAAAAAAATACAACTGTAAACTGGGTCTTCATAAAATGCCTCGTGGCTTCAGTACGTGGACAGGTGTTCATCATGAAGCTAATGCTTGCCTCTCAGGGAGTTATGCTGGTGAAGGTGTTGGAACAGTGCTGGGAAGGCTTCTAGTTCCCCATCCTTGGCTTTTCTGTATGACTAGACAGAACCATGATGTTGATGGCCCCTTGGGGGTAGTGAAAACCTTGACCCTGGGTGTGGGCACACACCGGGGACACATCCGGAGGTGGTGGGCTGCATTAAGCCGTGTTTAAAAGGGATAAAACAAGTGTCAGCCAGACTCTTGTCTTCAGCTTGAGGTGTCCGGACCTCCTCCTCCTCCTCGGACCCCTAGCCCAGATCTCACTAAGCTCAATGGTGGAGCCTACCTCTAGCCGGCAATGGCTGTGAAGAGCAAAGTGACCAGGACTCTGTCCTGCATTCATTGGTAGTTTGTTTACCGTGTTCCTTTCAGACCGCTTGTGTTGTCTCAGGTGGAGATAACTCTTGGGTTTTGATTGAGTGGGGTGTAAAGGTCACAGCTCCTGGAAGGAAGCCACTGGCACCGAGGGCGCTGCTGACACCAGGGCTTGTGCGATGCCTTTAACTCTGAGTTTGCTTTGCTTACTTATCTGTCTTTAGTTTTTGAGGCAAGGGATTATTCTAGAGCCTAGACCTCTCTGGGACTAGTGGCCTTTCTGCTTTTGCCATCTGAAAGCTTCGAGGGTAAGTGTGCACCACCATACCCTGTTTGCTTCTTCTTATTTGTTCTTATTTCATTTGTTTTGAGACAGAGTCTCTCTGTGTAGCCTGGGATGGTGTCCTGGAGCTCACTTTGTAGTCTAGCCTGGCCTTGAACTTGCCCTCCTCCTGCCTCTGTCTCTTGAGGGCTGGGATTACAGATGTCGTTTTGCTTTTAAAGGAAATTTTAATAATGGCATTCTGCCTGGACAGGGTAACTCATACCATTAATCCCAGTACCAAGGAGAATGAGGTAGGGGGATCTCAAGTTTGAAGCTAGCTTGTACTACTTAGCTAGCTGAAGGCCAGCCTGAGCTATATCTTGAGACTTGCTTTTTAAAAACAGAGGGTTGGGGCTATAGGCCAGTGGTAGAATTCGTGTCCAGCATGTACAAACCCCTGCACTTGGTCTCCAGTATTGGGAGGGGAGAAAAAGCATCCTAGAATCTAAGATCACTGCATGCTAAGATCATGCTTTTTTTACTGGGCTACACCCTCAAGCCCCGGACTGATTTTAATTTTATCTTCACAGTTATCTTAGTTCATGTCTTTTGCTAATACCAAAGCACCAGAGACAGGATAAGTAATAGATTTGGGCTCTCCATTCTGGTTTACAATTAAAGGACCCCATCAATGGATCATTTTCTTACTGACAGGGTCCTGAAGCTTTGCAGAAACATCCCCGGTGAGAGATCAGCTCAACAAAACGGATTCTACAACAGACTCACCATTGTGATAAGTTTAACTCATTGGTCCTTTGATCACAGGAATGGTTTGCTAGTGAGGGCAGAGGCTGAGTCGGCTCATAGTGAGCGTTAAATTTCAGTGTGAGTCTGGAGTGGCTAAACCATGTTCAGACCATGGCAACTGTGAACTTCAGTGTGTAACACATGCTGCAATTCTTTACTTTCCTCAAGGATCAACTTTCCCCTCTCTCAGAACATGACCCAAGCCCTTCTGCAAATTCTGGGGTCTCTCCTGAGGTATGGCCTCCATTCCAGGGAGCATGCCAATCTTGGGGTTGTTAGTTCAGAGATTTGTGTACACTAGTGTTTGCTTAGTGATACCAAGAGTCTCGGACAGAAAATGTGACACTCAGGCCGTTGGCTGCCTGAGATGCTGGCCCAACAATTCTAAAGTGGGCCTTGGGTCTGACAAGCCCCAGAAATGCTGGTGCGGAAGGCTCCCCTATCAGTGCGGAAACCACTTTTAAGCTTGAATTCAAGATCAAGACACGCTCTGGATGGCGGTCTGCCTGCTGACAGGATATTGTAGCTCTGGTCTCATGAGGGGAAACAGGGAATACTGGAGAGGGTTTGCTAGAACAAGGGGCAAGCTAGGGCAGCACCTGTGAGTGCCTCTCTATGCACAGGTGCTGTGTCTTCCAGGAGCAGTCACACAACTTTCCTTCACTTTGCCCTGCTGGGGAACATTCCATGACTTTGAATTCTAGTCCTGCCTGTTAGGACCAGGGCTGCTGCTTGGTTTCTGAAGCTGGGGGAGGCCACCTTAGCTGGCTAGCGTCCTCTGTGTCCCAGTTGCTCTTGCAAAAAGAAGTTGTGCATAAGAAACAAGGAATAGCTTGTTTTCTTGTGCAGTGGAGAGTAGCCCAGTTATGCTTTATTTTGCCATGGGACACAGATGCCAACTACTCCACAATGAGGCTCATGGTCTCCTCACTGCACAGGCCCCAGCCTATCAGATTAGTGCTTTTTCAAGTTACCAGTAACCTGTCTTTGTCAGGAATCTGTTGACACTGACCCAGAGTGTTCTACCCAAGGAGAAACAGGGTCTAGTCAAACATAAAATTGCCTGGAGAAAACCCCATGGACAACCACACATTTCTTTTGTTGTTTTCTGCTTTGACTCAGTATGGTTCTGCAAGTCCTACATTCTGCAGGGACAGCCTTTCAATGCTGCGATTTCTTTCTTGCAGGATGGTGATTGTAGAGTGTGCGCCACCCCCCCCCCCCAAGGCCAGTGGTAGCTCAGTACCACCCGAGAGTTGACTAGAAATACAGATTACTAGGCTACCTGCCTGCTCCAGTGCACAAACTCTGAGGACTGCTCCTGGAATGTGTGTGTTCTAATAAGTTCCCCCAGGCAGTTCTGATGTATGCTCACGTGTGAGAACCACTGAGCAATGGGAAATCCTGGGTGTGTGTGGGGGGGTGTGTATATGTGTGGTGTGTGTGTGGTGTGTGTGTGGTGTGTGTGTGGTGTGTGTGTGGTGTGTGTGTGGTGTGTGTGTGGTGTGGTGTGGTGTGTGTGTGTGTGGTGTGTATGTGGTGTGTGGTGTGTGTGTGTGGTGTGTGTGGTGTATGTGGTGTGTGTATGGTGTGTGTGTGGTGTGGTGTGTGTGTGGTGTATGTGGTGTGTGTGTGTGTGTGGTGTGTGTGTGGTGTATGTGGTGTGTGTGGTGTATGTGGGTGTGTGTGTGTGTGTGTGGTGTGTGTGGTGTGTGTGTGGTGTATGTGGTGTGTGTGTGTGTGGTGTGTGTGGTGTATGTGGTGTGTGTGTGTGTGGTGTGTGTGGTGTGTGTGGTGTATGTGGTGTGTGTGGTGTGTGTGTGTGTGTGTGGTGTGTGTGGTGTATGTGGTGTGTGTGTGTGTGTGGTGTATGTGTGTGTGGTGTGTGTGGTGTATGTGGTGTGTGTGTGTGTGGTGTGTGTGTGTGTGGTGTGTGTGGTGTGTGTGTGTGTGGTGTGTGTGGTGTATGTGGTGTGTGTGTGGTGTATGGTGTGTGTGTTTGTGTGTGTGTGGTGTGTGTGGTGTGTGTGTGGTGTATGTGGTGTGTGTGTGTGTGTGGTGTGTGTGTGGTGTGTGTGGTGTATGTGGTGTATGTGGTGTGTGTGTGTGCGTGTGGTGTGTATGTGGTGTGTGTGTGTGTGGTGTGTGTGTGGTGTGTGTGTGGTGTATGTGGTGTGTGTGTGGTGTGTGTGTGTGTGTGTGTGTGTGTGGTGTACGCACGTGTGTGCGCATGCACGCCTGCCTGCCCGTGGAGGTCAGAAGTTGACATTAGGAATCTTCAGTTGCTTGCTATCTATTTTTTGAGACAGGGCTTTTCATTGAACTTGGAACTCACAATTCGGTTAAATTGGTTGGCTAGCTAGCCCCAGGGAATCCTCTTCTTTCTGCCTCCCAAATCCTGGGATGACAAGGGTGTTCTGCCATGCCTGGCTTTTCTGTGGGTGCTGGTATAACTAGAGGTTTCTCTCCTGCCTGTCAAGTCCTGAATAACTACTCTGAGGCTTAATATTAATTATAAACTACTTGGTTTATTAGCTCAGGCTTATTATTAACTAGCTCTTACAAATTAAGTTAACCCATTTCTATTAGTTTATATTTTAACACGAGATTCATGGCTTGTTACCTCACATCTTGCTTTCCCAGTGGCTGCTGGTGGCAGCCCAAGTCTGCCTTCTTTTTCCATTTATCTTTTTTTTTTTTTTTTGATTTCCTGCCTGGCTCTATTCTGCCTGTTTATTGGCCAAGTCAGTGTCTTTATTAACCAATGGTGATAAAACATATTCACAGCATACAGCAAGACACCCACATCAGATTCAAATGCGGCTCCACATCTTGTACAGCAAGCTCTTTCCTGACGGGACCATCTCCTCATCTCCATTTTTCTGTGTTTAACTTTAGTTCCTATTGTAGGGACACAGGGAGATCTGTTGACCGGTGATAAAGGCGAAATGGGGCCCAGAGCCTAGGGAGTGAAGAGGTGTTTTTGAGAACTGCATGTGCTGCGTGTCTACCTCCCCATCCCTCTCACCCCCTAACTCCTCTTGTGTTGTGGCCCCCACTGCCCCTCCAAAATCCATGCTCTCTTCTTTACTTATTATTGTTGCATGAATATACAATATGTACACATACATACAACTTACTGAGTCCACTTAATATTGCTCACGGACATGCATCCAGGGCTGACACGTATGTTTGTATTTTGGAAATGGATTGGACAACCCAATAGTAGCGAGTCCCTGACAGAAATAGCTTCTTTCTGATCAGAAGTATTGGCCACTGAAGCGATTACTTACATTGTTCTATTATTAAATAAGATCCAGGAGTCAGATATTGGGGTAAATACCGCATAGATCCAAAGAGCAATGGAGGAATGATCAGCTGACCCTGACTCTCCACGCTTCCCCAAATTGAAAAGGATTACACATCTTTTAAAAGCCCTCCCAGCTACTTCCTATATCCCCATATCTCTCTTCTCCAAAATCTCCATGGCTAATTCTGGTCAGCCAATTGATTCAAGATAAACTTTATTGGCAGTCTCTGAGTGTCAGTGTGAACAAATACCCCACAACAGGATACTGTGGTAGTTTGAATGTAATTGGTCCCCTATTCTCATGGGGAGTGGTACTATTAAGAGGTGTGGCTTTGTTGGAGTGGGTGTAGCTTTGTTGGAGTGGGTGTGGCTTTGTTGGAGTGGGTGTGGCTTTGTTGGAGGACGTGTGTCACAGCAGGGGTGGGCTTTGAGGTTTCCTATGTACAGGATACTGCCCAGTATCTCAGTAAACTTCCTGTTGCCTGTAAGATAAAGGATTCTCAGCTCCTCCAGCCTGCATGCCGCCATGCTCTCTGCCTTGATGATAATGGACTGAACCTCTGAAGCTGTAAGCTGCTTCCTCAATGAAATGTCTTCCTTCATGGTATCACTTGACAGCCATAGAAACCGTAACTAAGACAGGCACCGATCAGTAACTAGATGTGTTTTCATGACTTCCTGTTGCCTTCTGACCAAGAAAGCATGCTCAAAAACAAAAGACAGGGAAAACAAATCCCCACCTCCCTCTATGTTCAACCCAATCAGCTGGCCCAATGTGTTGCTGCTTAAGAGGGCTGGGATCTGTTGGGTGGGAATGTGATTGGCACTGACACTTCACACGCGTGTTTGTGAGTCATAACAGTGATTTTCTTTATATTTTTCCTTTCCTTTTAGCTTCATGGAACAGACACAGAGAGTCCTGAGCCGGCCCCCTCCTGTCTCCGCTTCCCAACCCAGGAAGAGAAGGACATTGGTGCGATCTTTCTTTTACAAGGTCAGGCACCAGTGTCCCTTCCCACCACGATGTCGCCACTGTGTAAGATGTGCACCTGCTTGCTCTGTGCTAGAACTGCTATGCCTGGGCTCCTTCTGAGGGCCGTGCAATGACTTCTTTCAACAGGGATAGAGGGTGCTTATAAGAAGTTGAAATGAGAAGGATTCAGCTTGCTGCTAACTCAAAAGTTTAAAAGAAAAAAAAGGAACTGTAATAAATACTCAGAAATAGCGATGCTGGAAAGTTACAAGGTCTTCTACACAGTGCTGAGCAAGCAGCCTGATCTGGACCTGGACCCTGCATCCATTCCTGCTTCCTTCCAGAGGATGGGGCTAGCTTTGTCTTTGGCATTCTCTCTTCTCTCTCTTCTTCTTCTTCTTCTTCTTTTTCTTCTTCTTCTTCTTCTTCTTCCTCTCTCTCTCTCTCTCTCTCTCTCTCTCTCTCTCTCTTTCTCCATCCCGGTATAAATGCAGGGGCTTTCTTGTCATGGTGCACATGTGGAGGTCAGAGGGTAATCTTGGATGTCTGTCCTCACCTTCCACCTCTTTTGAGACCAGGCCTCTCTTTTTGTTGCTTACCACACAGCAGTCATCTCACGCACCTTGAGATTCTCCTTCTCCCATCTTGCCATAGGAAATTTGGATTATAGACAGGCACCATTGTGCCTGGCTTTACCTGGGGATCAATCTCAGGTCTTTATGGTGGCATGGGAAGTGTCTTACTCATCATCTCTCTGGTCCCTAATTGGGAGCTTTCATTGTCTGGGGTCTGATTCTAATGTGGGCTGCCTAGTTCTGTGCCCTGAGGAACACTAGTGCCTCCTTGTCATTGGTGCTCATCTGTTCTCTAGGGGGCAGCTCATCTGATCATGAGAAAGGTAGCCTATATCTTGATCTATCTTCTATTTTATCTATATCTTATCTCTTGTCTTACAGTTACTTAGTGTTTAGTTTTAGAAGTATAGAATTTTGTGTAGAAGCACAGTGCTTCCCCATTGTGGCGTTTTCGCTTTTTCTGCTTCATCTAATGAATTCAGATGTTGGGACAACCTCCAAATGTCCTGAGATGTTTACATATGTGTAATTGATATTTGTTGAGATGTTGCCAATTGAGTCACATGTTGGTGAGGGGTTGGGGACAGTGACTATTGAGAAAGGTCTCTCAGGATTTATCATATTGCTGGATGGAGAGGCAGGGACATCAGCCCGATGGCAGAAGAATCAAGACAGAATTGGAAGAGAAGAACTGGAGAAAGTAGGTATCATACAAACATGTCATTCATTTTGTTTAGTTAAAAGGACAGCAGAGGATGAGAAGGACTTGGAGGAGGAAGAGGGTCAGAGAACTTTTCAGAGAGGAGAAATAACATAGCATATGCTAGAAAAGGGACCTGTGTCTCAATGATAGTCTCCTTTCCTCTTAGCCTCGGTCACACAGTTTACTACTGTGTATCTCCCCAGTGACACACACACACACACAGAGGGGGACACACGTGTTTACTTATCTTTAGTTTAGAAGAAAAGAAACTTGAATAGGCAAAATAGCATTTTCTTTAAAGAGAGATGTTTGGAACTGAGTTCAGAGTATGAGTCTGAGCCCTTTTGGATTGATTCTCTCTCTCTCTCTCTCTCTCTCTCTCTCTCTCTCTCTCTCTCTCTCTCGTGTGTGTGTGTGTGTGTGTGTGTGTGTAGCATGCTAGATGTCTCAACTTCAGGTGTCTTCTTCATTGTGCTCCACTCGCACTAGACTGGAGCTCACTGGTTTGGCTAGGCTGCCTGGCCAGAGAACTTCCGAGTTCTTTGTTTTTCTTAGTGCTGAGATTCTAGTCATGCACTGCTACACCCAGCGACTTATGAGGGTGCTCTGATCTTCATGTGTGTCGAGCAAGCACTTTACCGACTGGACCATCTTCCCAGCCTCTGAATTAACACACTTTTGACCCACCACCCAGGTCTCTTGGAAACTGAGGTTGCGGAAACAGGAACCTTTGAAGAATGTGTTTTTCATCTTGGCAGAAAGAGCCCAGGATCCTAATGCTAAAAAGCGTCATCTGGCAATGAGAGGCCTGGGCACCTTGGCCCGTGAAGCCCCTGACAAGGTAGGGGAGGTGGAATTGAGACAGCCTTCCTAAGACTCTGAGCCCTGAAGGCATGGAGTCCCCACAGCATGGATTGCTAACACTGTAACAACTCACACAGAGCTAGCAGTAAACAGTGCTATCTGTGTTGGGGGCCTGAGTATGAGCTGGATGCATAGCTCAGGATCTTGTAAACCACTGTTGGTTAGACTGTGGCTTCCAGAAGCTCAGGGTGCTTTTCCAAGAATGGCTTTTTGCAGAACTGGTTCTTCCAATGGTAGAACTGAGGTTTCTCTTCCCTTGCTGGCTGTCTGCTGGGGGCCACCCCCCTTTACCCAGGATCCACACTCTCAAAACATGCTAACCTCTCTCTTCAAGGTGTCTCTTGCTCCTGTCTACTCTATGGGAGTCTTGCATAATGTAGCTTAGCAACCAGGAGAGACATCTGGTCACTTTTGTCACTTCAGGCTAGAGGCAGGCCACTGGTTCTTTTTACAGAGGAGGACAGATTACGTAAGGATGTGACTCATTCTAGGTCGTCTCAAGCTGGCATACCTCAGTTCTGTCAGCCTTGGGAAATGAGCTACGGGACTGACTGACACAGGTTCATGCTGTTCTCCTTGAGAGTCTGAATGATTGTCTCAGAATGTTTGTGTAGTAAGAACCGCTCTCATATCCTGTCCCTAGCACCTGTCCACAGGGATATCATCTTATGTCCTCTCCATTACAAAGGCACCCAGCTCTCTGAAGGGCCCTAGAATACTCTTGTCCACCCTCTCTGCTCTTGAAGTACTACACCAGCTCCATGACCCAGAGGCCTTATTCCTGTTTGTCCTTTCTGTTCTTCGAAGAGCTAGGAGGGCTCTTGGGCTGGATTACTAGAAACATTTGTATTTGGACAAGAGTTGGTAGCAGATTCAGAAGAAAGTGTGAGCGCGTAGCATATATACATACACACACGTGGACGGCATGAACACAGAACTGCTTGTGAGGAAGGAGGGGAGCAGCAAGAAGAGTGGGGGAAGGGAGTGTCACAAGGAGCGGGGCCACATGTCTATCCCTGCCGCCCAGCTAGCTTAGCCCCTGAAATAACCACACAGAAACTGTATTAATTTAAACACTGCCTAGCCCATTAGCTCTAACTTCTTATTGACTAATTTTTACATCTTAATTTAACCCATCTCCATTAATCTGTGTATCACCACGTGACTGTGGCTTACTGGCAAGATTCTAACCAGTGTCCATCTCAGGCAGAAAATCCATGGTGTCTCTCACTCTGCCCTTCTTCCCAGCATCCAGTTCTGTCTTCTCTGACTACCTAAGTTCTGCCCTATCAGGCCCAAAGCAGTTTCTTTATTCATTAACCAATGACAACAACACATGAACAGAAGAACCTCCTACACCAAGGGAGGACGGGGAGGGTAGTGGGGGATGAACATGAGCGAACATGACCGAACAATGATATATATGTTAAAAAGTCATAATGAAACCCTGTATTCCTTTTTACCTTAACAAAAAATGTTAATTTAAAGAAGAAGGGAAAGATAGCCAGGCCCTCTCAGTCCCAACTTGGGGCTACTGGAAGATTAGGAACGGAGTTGTTTTTTAATTTGAATAGTGTGTGTGTGTGTGTGTGTGTGTGTGTGTGAGAGAGAGAGAGAGAGAGAGAGAGAGGTGTATAAGTGTGTGAGTGTATGAGAGTATGTGTGTATGAGTGTGTGTGAGAGAGTATGAGTGTGTGTTTGAGTGTGTGATACTAATTCTTTTCCAACCTCTGTAGCAGGTGAGAAAGTACAAGAAAGTTTTCCTTGCCCTCCTGGTACATGGGCTGTATGACCCCGTGAGTTCTGACGTTATCCACGAGAGCATGAAGACTCTGACCATCATGCTGGGCAAGATCCAGGGCCAACGCCTGGGCTCCTTCTTCGTAGATATCACTCTTCAGACCAGGGCTCTATTGGATGATGTAAGTGAGAAGGGTAAGCAGAAAATCCTGGGCTATGAAACTGTCCTGGGTTAGAAATGAGGATCCCAAGCCGTGTGGTGGTATTGCCTTTAACCCCAGCAGAGGCAGAGGCAAGCCGAGCAGAGGCCAATCTCTGTGACTTTGAGCTTTGCCTGGTCTTTGAGTTTCAGGACAGCCAGGACTACATTTTTTTTTTTAAAAAAAACTGTCTCAAAAACAAAAACAATTGGAAATGAGAACCTCAGGTAGTATGTTTCTTAAGAGCAATGTCTGCATCACTCACAATTTATGAATCAATTTTATTGAGAGGAGTTATGGGTAGGGTTATGGAGAACATAAGACATGCAGAACCCAGTCACTCCCTTTTGAGGAACTTTCATGTCAAGAGGGAAGTGAACATGTGCAGTAGTGATGACAACAGTGTCGATGGTGATGCCAGCCGGTGCTCAGTACTCCCTTCTCTGGTGATGCCAGCCGGCGCTCAGTACTCCCTTCTCTGGTGATGCCAGCCGGTGCTCAGTACTCCCTTCTTTGCAACAGGTTAGCATTTAGTGCGCCCTTCCTGTGTGTCATTCACAGTGCCGGGCAGTTGCCATGGATACTTATGCAGTCCTTACAACAATCCTCTTAAGTGGGTGTGACCGTGATCTTTATTATAAAATGAGAAAATTGAGGCACAGAAAGATCAGGATCTGCACACAGTTCACTGAGGCAGCACACACCCTGAATGCAGCCGACTGACTGCAGCCGCTGCCCTGTTAGCCCCCAGATAAAATGCACCAACCAGGAAGGGCTCAGGTGCAACCTGTGGTCTCAAGTGAAGACTCTTGCATGGCCAACTTGCAGGCTGACAAACAGCCTGCTACTGTCTCTCTATCAAAGACAACACCTGTCAGACATCCCTCAGACCTTTACTTAGCACAACCCAAAGCAACTTCCACCTGTCCCTGTCGCCTAAGTCCCAAGCTAAACAAGAGAAAAGGAGAGTCATGGAGCTCATAGAGCTCAGAACCTATATCAGAGTTACTGGCATGCTTGTCAACGTTCATCTTTCCTCCAAAAGAAGAGATGTTAGGATATTAGTGGAGATGGCCCATGCTGGCCCAGAACCCAATATATAACACAGGCTGGCCTTGATCTCATGGCAATCCTCCTGCCTCAGGTCCTGAGTGCTGAGGTTACAGGCATGAGCCCTGTCTAGATGTTTGCTATCGAATGTAAACCTATCTTGTCTGAGAAGGGGGTAGGATGATGTGTACATTACCACCCTAGGATGTCAGCACAAGTCTTGAGGACGTAGCCTTAAATCCTTCTGGTGCTGTTTAAACTTCAGTTGATTTTTATTCAACTACCTTGTCTTTCCCTTTCTTTTTTTTTTTTTAAATATTTTTTTCTTTTTTTTTAAATATTTATTTATTTATTATGTATACAATATTCTGTCTGTGTGTATGCCTGCAGGCCAGAAGAGGGCGCCAGACCCTATTACAGATGGTTGTGAGCCACCATGTGGTTGCTGGGAATTGAACTCAGGACCTTTGGAAGAGCAGGCAGTGCTCTTAACCTCTGAGCCATCTCTCCAGCCCCCTTCCCTTTCTTTTCTTTTAAGATTTACTTATTTATTATGTATAGTGTTCTGCCTGTATGTATACCTGCAAGCCAGAAGAGGGTGCCAGATCTCATAGTGTGAGTCACCACATAGTTGCTGGGACTTGAACTCAGGACCTCTGGAAGAGCAGCCAGTGTTCTTAACCTCTGAGCCATCTCTCCAGCTCCTCACCTACTTTTTAAACCCAGTTTACATGCCATTTTTTGGAGCAGAAACCTTGGTCATGTAGAAAAGGAAGGAAAAATCTTCTCATAGCACTGCCTATGGGCAGAATCTAGGCGAGAGTTACACTGTCGATATGGCCTGCTTCGTGCTGTGTTTGTTGGGGACATACCCCCACTAGACGATTGTCACACTCTTGGGAGACAGGTACCTGGCTTATACATTCCTGTACATAGTATCAGGGGATCATGGGGCAAGTTCTCAATGAGTCACATATGTTTAAATATATTTTTGGATATTTCACAAAATGATCAGTGCTGTCTCAGTCTTTGTGACCCAGTTCTAGATGTTTCTTTCCCTTTGGAGAGGGCCACTCTCTGTTCTCTCTGGTTTCCCTAGAACTTGGACAGGACTGTGAACTGCTGATACAAAAATCCATGTACCAGCAGGGTGGTGATGGCACACACCTTTGTTCCCAGCACTTGAGAGGCAGAGGCAGGTGAGACTCTGTGAGTTCCATAACAGCTAGGACTGTTACACAGAGAAACTTGGTCTTGATCAACCAAAACAAAACAAAAATCTGTGTACCAAGTAAGGAGGAGACTGGGCGCCTTCACTGGCTGCCTATCTCATGGTATGATGATGAACACATCCTGACAGTCTCTGAGCCTTGACATCCTTGCCTGAGAAGGCAGATGTGTGGAGCAAACAGTTTATGTAGGAGAGAAGAAGCGCATGGGCTCCCAAGGAAGAGCTAACTGTTGAGAGTAGAGGCAGGGAGAGCTGTGAGGGTGTGGGGGAAGAAACAAGATCTTTATTCCCTTGATCGGCAGGAGAGACTCAGGCAGTAGGGAGAGGAGATATGGCTGAAATGATGGGAGGGAGGAAGGGGGAGACAGGAAGAGAAAAAGAGGAAGGGAAAGGAGGGAGACATGGGAAAGGGAGGAAAGGGGAAAGGAGAAAAAGAAATGAGAAATGAAAGGAGGAAATTTTTAGCTAACAGCATGGAAGCAGCTCCTAGATAGACTGAAAGGAAACCCAAGGTGCCCACCACTGCTGGCATTTGTTCCCTGATGTCAGAAGGCACAGGGTCTTGAGTATGATGCCCCCATGTCTGTGCAACTCAGAGCGATGGTCGTGGTCTGTTCTGATGGAGGCCTGTTGACAGTGATCTGCTTTTTGTTGTTGATGGAAACCACAGGAGAACGACGGTGTGCGGTACTTGGCCTTTGTTCTGTTTGGGCAATTGGCTGCATTTGCTGGGCGGAAATGGAAGAAATTTTTCACTGACCAGGTTAACCAGACACAAGATTCCCTCCTGACCCATTTACAGGACAAAAGCCCTCAGGTGGCCAAGGTGAGACAACCATTCTTTGCTCATTTTGTGAAATCTTTACTGTCCATGGAGGGGGTGGTGGCAGCTCTGCTAAGTGGAGAAGCCAGGCCCTGGAGTTCCTGCCAGTTAGAATGTAAAGCAAAGGGTCCTCCAGGGTGCAATCTCCCCTACTTCCGCTTTGACCTGTCTCTGCCCAATCTAACACCTGCTGGTGCTAGCAAGATAGGGAAGGCCAAGCCCCCAGGGATGATGTGCAGAGAGTTCTACAAATTCATCTTGGGGGAGGGGAGGAAGAGAGTGTGGAGGAGTATAATTGTGAGCGAGGCTGTGCACATGGCAGAGCGGTGTCCTCTCTGTGTGCTACAGAACGAGCCATGGCCATTCTATGAACAGAAATCCTTCAAGTTTCACAAATGACCTGAAAATTACGTTCCCAGCCTTGGTGGCTCTGACCTGAGATTGGCTACAGTCCTTTGGGATCACCTTCCCTGCCCAGAACGCTAGAATTCCCTAATAGTTTAGGCAATTGGATGGCAATGTTATTTCCCTCAGGCTTGCAAAACGACTGTGCGAGCCTGTGTTCCGTATCTGAAACCCAGAAAAGAGCAGCGTTTCCAGAGTGAAGAAGATAAGCGCAACCCCAGACTTTCCCGGCAGCTGGTGAGTGGGTCAGGGAGGAGAGAGTTCTCCTGGGAGTCCCTCCCGTTCAGGCGCCGGAAGTGGCCCAGTGCAACAGGAAGTTGCCTCCTCCTACCTCCTAAAACAGCTCAGGCTGGCATGGCAGTTGCAAAGGATCCATAACGCCATGTAAAGGGCAGGATTCCTGGAAGATGACACAGTGTTACCATTCGCTCAGTTCTAGTCCTTGGCTGCTTCTACTCCTGTGGCTTCTCCTGGTGTCCTAACCGCAACCTCCCTCACATGTACGTTTTCTAATTTCTTCCAGAGCCATTATCATCCTGAGGTCCTGCTGTTCTTCTATGCCAATAAAATCCTCTAAGTCCAGAGCGGCAGAGAAAATGGCCCCATGTGAGTGCCCTGCTCCGGGCATCCCGTTCCCTCTGCTCTGTCTCACTGGGTACCTCTTTGACTCTGCTCATATGATAGTAACAAGAGAGGACGTCAGAGAGCTACTGAGGGCAAAAACAATCTCCTGGAAGTGTATCTCTGCACTCAAAGTAAAATTCTCCATTACTTTCACGGATCTCATTTCTTCCCTAAACAAACAAATTTGTTTAGAGGTATATGCTTCCTTTTCTAAATTGCGTGCATGCGTGTGTGTGTATGCCTGCACATAAATGTGCGTGATTGTAGAGGTGAGAACAACCTCAAATACTGTTCGTCAGGTATAGTCCACCTTTCCACTGAAAAAGGGTCCTCAAACAGCCTGGGGCTTGTAGATTAGGCTAGCCTTGATGGCTGGTAAGCCCCCATTATAACTACACTCTGGTAAACCCAGCTTTTTTTTTTAATTCTCTCATATATTATGTCGCTCATATATTATATCTCAACCACAGTTTCCCCTTCATCCATTCTTCTCAGTCCCTTCCTCCACCTCCTCTCTTCCCAAGATCCACTACTCCTCTGTTTTGAGAGAGAGAGAGAGAGAGAGAGAGAGAATATGAATGAATACAGGCCTCCCAGGGATTTCAACCAAACATAGCTTAACAAGTTACAATAAGCCCAGACACAAACTCTCATATCAAGACTGGATGAGGCAACACAGTTGTAGGAAAAGGGTCCCAAAAGCCACAAGGGTTGAGAACACAGCCCGCAGAATCAACCAAGCAGGGCTCATAGGGCCTCACAGACACTGAAGCTGCCAACACGGACCCTATGGGTCTGATAGGTCCTCTGCATATATGTTATGGTCATGTAGCTTGGTGTTCTTGTGGGACTCTCAATAGTGGGAATGGGGGGTGGAGTGGGGGCATCTCTGACTCTTTTCCCAACTCTTATTTTATTTTTATTTATTTATTTATTTTAATAAGGGTTCTGGGGTCAAATTTAGGCACTTGTAACAACTGGGCCATCTCCCTGGCCCAAGAGACGCACACTTCCTTAAAGACATTTAATATGCCAGGTGTTCCAAAGCACCTTTCTCTGCTCCTCTCTGTCAGGTGTAACATGCATTGCTAATATGTAACTTCTGAGATTTTGGAGAGTAACTGCTATTATAAACATTCTTAAAATTGTTTTTGATGGTTTGTTCTTTGCTGTTGACATCTTTTCTTGTCCAGATACAGAAAGGTAGTTTGCAAAGTTTCTTCACTTTCTCATGAACTTAAAATGTCATTATCTTCAAGATTATCTTTACAAAAACCAACAATAAAAAGAAATATTGCCAAAAATCCACAGGATGATGATAACTTACAGAATAAAAACAGTAACACTTATTGAGAGTGCTTACAACGTATTGGGTACTGTGGTGTTTGAATGAGAATGGACCCATAGGCTCATAGATTTAAATGCTTGGTTCCCAGTTAGTGGAACTGTTTGGGAAGGAAGGACTGGAGGACATGCCTTTGTTGGAGGAGCTGTATCACTGAAGGTGAACTTTGGATTTCAAAAGCGCACGCCAGGTCCAGTGTCTCTTTTTCTGCCTATTACCTGTGGGTGACGATGCGACATTCTCTACTGCTGCTCCAGCACCATGCCTGTCTACTTCCTGCCAGGATGATCATGGACTAACCCTCTGAAACTGTAAGCAAGCCCCCAACTAAATGCTTCTTTTCATAACAGCTGCCTTGGTTATGGTGTCTCTTCAGAGCAACAGAATAGTCTCTAATAAGACAGGCACTAATAAGTTTTTGAAAGTATCATATACAACAACTGTATACAGCAGGTGCTAATATTTATTTATTGGAATGGGCACATGTCACGGTGTCTATGGGGAAGTAGGAGGACAGCTTGAGGAGTCAATGCTCTCTTTCCACCATGGGGGTTCCAGGAGTCAAACTTAGGTGGTCAAACTTGGCAGTAAGCACCTTTGTGTGCTGAACCATCTCACTGGCCCCGAGAGAGGTGATATTACAGTTTTCATTACCTGGATGAGAAAACAGAGGAAATTAAGTAACTTGCACAAGATAAATAGTAGGACTAGACCTTAGAGTCATGTGATCAGATTTCTGGAATAAGAACTCAATTCTCCATCGCATCATTGGCGGGTGGCTAGAAATCCAATGGTCACTTCCACCCTCTTCTGCTCAGGCCAGGGTCATTTCTGAAGTTTGCCTGCTGCTGAAAGCCTAGTTTTCAGCATGTGTGAGAGACTGGAGAGAGGGTGTGGACCAGATAAGCTATGGGAACAGACACCCAGCCACACGAGAACTTTATCAGAGGGCCAAAGTTTAATTCTTCATTTTAGTTTTCTCTCTGGGGTTGTTCGTTTTACTCTGTTTTTTTTTTTTCCTCTGTTCTGTTTTTTTTTTTTTAAATCTTGTTTTAATTTTATTTTTTTCTTCCCAGTTGTTCTCCTTGTATATTTTTTTCGATATTATCCTTTTAACTCTTTTCAGATATCTTTTTTTTTCTATTGCTCTCCTGCTGGTTCCCTTCTATTTTTCCCAGATGTTTTTTTTTTTTTTTTTTTTTTTTTTTTTTTTTTTTTTTGGTTTTTCAAGACAGGGTTTCTCTGTGGTTTTGGAGCCTGTCCTGGAACTAGCTTTTGTAGACCAGGCTGGTCTCGAACTCACAGAGATCCACCTGCCTCTGCCTCCCAAGTGCTGGGATTAAAGGCGTGCGCCACCACCGCCCGGCTCAGATGTTTTTCTTCTACATCTTTCCTTCTCATTATGTCTCTTATTTTTTCCTTATCCCCTTTATACCTCCTAAGACAAAGATTTCTATGCAAGAAAATGTCACCTCACAGCCACAAGTTACATAATCTCCAGAGACAAAGTGATTTCTTTACACAGGAAGAAGAGGCATTAAGATTGCAAGCCCCAAGTTTTTCTTAGAAGTTCACAAGTAGTCAAACATTTTTCTTTATCCCAAATACATGATTATTTTATAATTGATTAACAAAGTTTTAAGCAAGCTAAATGTATTTCAGTCAGTTTTCTTTCTTTCTTTCTTTCTTTCTTTCTTTCTTTTTCTTTTCTTTTCTTTTTTTTTAAATTTGGGTACTGGCAGGCAACAGTGACGGTTTCAGTGTAATCAATTTCTACTCTTAATTTTACTCTAGAGAAACTATAGACAAGTGGTCAATTTGCCATCTATTTTCCTTTACACACAAAAGGGCCATTTAATTTCCTTTTACAACTTTGCTTTTTCAAGGTGAAAACTGGGGTCTGTGATTAATTCTGTAAGTTATATGAACCAGCCCCAACCTTGTGTGTAGAGACATAATTGTTCTCTTCAGTCATCAGCCTGTTTTCCTACAGGCAGAATTCCTGTGGGTCTACAATGTGTGAAAATTCTTTGTTCTTATTTTTTAATCCTCTTCAAATCTTATATCTAACAAATAATAAGGTTTTTTATAAGGATTTTTAGCTTATATTTGCCTTTTTTTGTATCTCTTATTAGAGCAATTGTTAGAACAACAAAAATCATGTCCTTAATCATCTTTACTAACTCTCCTAACCACCTGTATCTTTTGGACTATCTCAGAAAGTCCAATAAAATCATAGCTATAATTAATCATCATCGCTCTTATAAAAATCATCTTCACTATAACCTGCAAGTAAATTACCCAGTGAGGCATGGGATTAAAAAAAAAAAAAAAAAACAATCACACTCTACTAGATACAGTAGGATCCTTCCAAGTAGCAATCACACCATGCCAAACAGCAGGAACACGACAGCAGCAAACAGGAGGAAGCTCAGCAGAAGCAAGGGGCATTCTGGGACAATCCACCCAGGGCTTCACCTCTCCACGATGCACACAGAGTAGCTGTGCTAATCTCTGAGCTGTAAGCTCCATTGCTGACGTGGCCACCAGCACTCGTCTATCATTCCAAATCTATACTTACTTATTTGAACTAAATAATAGAATAATAAGTAATAATTAGTAAAAGTATATGCTTTTATTAATCATCATTGATTAATGTGCTGATGTTTTGGTGACCTATCCTTACTATCTGAAGGGTCTAATCACTCTTATAAGAATTATGTCCAGGTGCAGTGATGTGCATATTTCTAGTCCCGGCTGTTTGGAAGAATGAAGTGGAAAGATCACTTAATGGCATGAGTTCAAGACTAGCCTGGGCAGCATACTGTCTCCATCTCAAAACAAGTATCTTTCAAGAATGCATTGCTTTGTTGCTTCTTCCTACCAATCAGGGTCACTCCTGGAACATCGTGTTCAGTTCGAGAACTGGAAAGATCAACAAGGATAGAGAACACAAGAGGTTATCAAAACACTGAGGGGTCTGAAGAGTCATTCTCAGAACTGGGAGATCAGTTTCTATGTAGAGGTGAGAGTGTTTAGGAGTGTCCTGGGAGAGAAAGAATGCAGGCAGAGATGGCAGAAGTCATAGCAGGTACCAAGAAACAGTAGTATAGATAGAGGCCGCTTGCTCGTTTCCCAGCTGCCCTGACCAAAAATAATCACACAGAAACTGTATTAATTACAATACTGTCTGACCAATAGCTTAAGCATATTTCTAGCTAGTTCTTACATCTTAAATTAACCCCTTCCTATTATTTTATATTTACTTCAAAGCTTGTGGTTTACTGGTAAGGTTTTCAGGTATCTGTCTTCTTCAGCGGCTACATGGTGTTTCCCTGACTCCACCTACTCTCTCTGTATATCTCTGTTTAAATTTTCTGCCTGGTTTTACTCAGTTAAGCCATTGGCTGAAAGCAGCTTTTTTATTAACCAATGGTAATAAAACATATTAACAGCATATAGAGGGGAATTCCACATCATCTTCCTCTTTTCTGTCTAATTACAAAGAAAGGTTTTAACTTTAACATAGTAAAATTACATATAACAAAACAATTATCAAGCAACAATTATAGTTACAATATTTATATCTACTTTATATTTTATCATAACTAAGGAAAACTATAATTATAACATCTACTCTTCAACCCCATCAAAGACTCCAGAAGGATATAATATTACTTAAGTAAACAGGAAGTATATTGTAAAAAAACTTCCAAAACTCTAGGATTGGCAGAGACATCTTGCTGCCTATACAGTCTCCCAAAGTTCTTCTGTAACATTGGGGCATCCATATTCAGCCTACAGGCCCATAGTATCTGGCAGATTTTTTTCATGAGGCAGGCAAAGACCATTCTGCCAATGATGGCAGTTTGTCAGTCACTTTCTTCTGTGTACTGCAGAATGTCTAGCAGACTCTTTAATGAAGCAGGAACTTCTGAAGGACTGTCTTACCTTCTTTAGGCAATTTTAGCAATCATTTTTCTGTGGGTCCTGCATGTCCAGTTCATATAGCATACTATCAAGCAGTCCAGGCAAGAGTAGTTTCTTACTCAAATGGCTAAGAGACTCCATAAGGAGCCTCTTCGATGCCCATCTTCCTCTTGAAGTAGATTGGT